TTGATGGCCTATTAGAGCTCAAATGTATTCTGTGGCTGATTAGTCCTCCCTTGTGTATGGCTAGCAAATATTTCCCTTACTGATAGAAGATACACAATACTGCCGATGTTTGAACAGTCCTGTCTTCATAATGTTGCTCGAATATGGTGGGAACATCAGATCAACAATTCTGAGTTTGGGAACCCTGGTGTTAGTCACTGAGACAGGCCCTGATATGAAGTGACGTGGGATTTGGCAAACTGGCCATACTTGTTCACAGAAATAATTCCTGGATTCATATACTCATCTGAGACCGATTTGTTTTGAGGCCAATTTGAAGTTGCTAGACCATGAACAGGCGATCGGGCGAAGTTGCCTATTGGAAGGTGAAAATGCCTTTGAGCTGCGATCAGAAAAGGAGTCTGATAGAACCAAAATGTCATTTCGTTTCGCGCAATCAAATAGAATCAACGACCTTGTTACTTTTATCCGTGAAAACGTTTGCCAATCGTGTGACAAATGTTTAATATCTGAAAGTTTCAATTCTCAATAAGTAAGAAATACGGAACCAATCACAATTCTAACAGCAACATTCATGTATACGTTATGCAGTATAGCTTTTTGGTTGATGTGAAAGTAGACCTTCTTCGCCGTAAACCGCTACTTCACTTACGGATATTCTACAGAAAATGTTTTTCTCATAACTTGTGCTATTTTGGAAGAGAAAAAGTAACTAGGATTGGTTTTATTTTTGAACAGACAGCAGATGAAGTCAGTCGTCCAGTTTAACGAATATACTGCTCAAAATAAAATCCACTGATAGAGGACCAAAGACCATTTGATACTGTGAGATTTTTGCATAAAAATTAACCTTTTGATTTTCCCAACAGAAAAATGTGCACGAAATATCCCGAAACGTTTGGATCTATAAAACGGTAAAGTGACGAATTTAAAACAAACGGAAAAGCTCACAGACCAAACTAGTCACTCAGTACAACCACTAAGTTGCTTGCAGTGTTATTGTGATTGAAAAAAGTGGAAGCCGAATAATGTTGGATTTCCTGCTCGACATAAAGTAACGCACAATAACTGTGTCCTGAAAACATGGTATGCAAAGCCGATGTCAATGCAGAATGGAAAACTGAGACACAAATCCGACTTCCTTGAACAGATTTTGTTTTTGTACTTAGTTGATTTCATGAAAGATTTAATGTTTTTGGTAGTTTGCATCAGAAAGTTTCCAGTTTTGATCAAATAATTGTGGGTTTAGCACTGACAAGTTATGTCATTGCTGCCATATTCACTTTCGATAGTCAATTTTCATCGGTATTGGGGATTTGGCAGCCCAACCGAAATATCGAATTACAACCGCATTCGTGACCAGTTCAAATCTCGTTGTTTTAAAATCGCTCGGTATACGGATAGGTTTGTTGTTCACTCCGATCCCCTCGTACAGTTTAACGTACCGTAGATAGCAGTTGTCAAAATCACCTGGTACACACTGCGGGAGACAGGGAAATTAAAGATCGGTGAATGGAAGGCTTTTATTATTCCAAACAACGGACGTTCGTTTGTTGCATGCTCAAATTCAAGTAGCACTCGGAACGAAAGACAGACCACTTAACCTATTTCAATAGATAGTTAAACTGACAACAAGAAGTTCTCATCGACTGTATAGGGAAGTTAGGAATTATCTGGTAGACAAAAAAGAAATCCACTGAGCTAGCTTTTCTGTTGTTCACAACTTGACATATGAATACATTAGAAGAAGCATAATTCCAATCGTGTGGTTAATCAGCTTTTGATGCTGATCAACAGGTCCGCTTTTGGTATCGATGTTCAGAACCTCATCAACTAATGATGAAAATTCAGATCGAGTGCAGAAAGCTACTTACGCGGAACGAGAAGAAATACGGTCAGATGAAGGTGTGCTATGTTTGACTCATGCATCCATATGCACTGTCGCTGATTCCATCATGGGAAGTGTCGTCATTTACCAACACAAACCTTACATTAGTAAACACATAAGACAGATGGAAGACAATTTCCTCGATTGTCGTTCGATGTCCAAAATGATATAGCATACAACAAACAACCGTCTAACATCGCATTATTATTTGTCGAAACATGTGAGGTCTGAATTAATGTACTCTGCAACGGTTGCAATAATTCAAATGGCAAAATGATCCAATTGAATATTTTCTAATAGCCGTGTAAAAAGCTGGCGAAACTCAGTCAAATAACAAATTGCACAACTGCCTTGAAGCAACCTATTAGAAATCGTTGAAATTATGCCCATGTCCAATCTCACTTGTGACTACAATCGGATCAACCGAAAAGGTTGGAAGAACCATGCTTTTTCTACTATACTATCGTGCTTGATACCAAAGGGTTGCCAACAAAAGCATTGTTTATTCAGTCGGATGTGTTATTATTTTGGAAGGTACAATTGTAAACTATCTCTAGAAGAAATACCGAAACTAACTGGACAGAACGGTATTCTCCATCTATATTGCTCTTCCCAAAATTTGAAGGTTTCACTACATTGACCTGGAATTCATCTAGTGATGCATTGGTACCAATACGAATTTGAGAACTACAGAATGGTTTCAGTTGAAATGACGCCCTTATAGTGATCTTGATGATCTGGTGTCTTGCCACAAATTATGTAAAGCTGAAATTGATATATGATAGATCTGGCAAAGTGGCCTATTCCAATCTTCCGTGGGTAATCAGCTGTACGTCGTTGTACGGATTGTCCTCAAAATTATTCCGATGAACGTGTAAGCACAGGCATTCGTGTCTGTCAGTAGACCGCATTTCCCAGTTTTTCAAACCTGTGAATTCACTTGATCAGGATGAAATTAAAGCACTAGTAAAGATCTGTTTTCTTTTACTAATTGACTTCTTTCTTTGAAGAATTTTTGAAGGTCTTGCACTGATTCTAGAAAACCAACAAACCTAACAATGATTCATGTGGTGACACGTCAAACAATCATGCAACTGTTGAGCAATCCTTGAAATTGGCCGTAAAACCACCAGAGTGGGGTGCATTTGACAAAATATAATCTCGTGATCCAACCTAATCAAAGATGGTGTAATTTATTCATTCAGAACAGATTTCAACAGAATGTCAATGGCATCTTCAAATTATTGCAAACAACGCACCACAGAGAGACGGATAGAGACGTTCATTGTCTGATTTTCAGGGTGCAATACATGCCAGTAGCATTGCAGTTGTTTGGTTGATCCTTTATCCCATTGCGGAATGATCAAGGTAGCTGGCATTTTCAATCGTTGAACACAATGCGATTCTGATTGGGTGTTAAACGTGAGTGAATGAAAAGAAATGCGTTTGCAATCTGATGAACACCTAATAAAACTCATATATATCTTGTGCTGCATTTCAGATGAACTCATTATGTAGCCAATTCTAGAATCACAAATCACCATCCAATCATGTTCGACAATAAATAATCAATCGCCAAAGTAGTTTGGTCATCACTATTACAGAAAGAAACCAAGCTGAATCGATACTGTTAGGTCATTATCACTGAAGTTCAATCCCGATTTGGAGCTGACACTTTAAAAAGCTAAATCACAATTCTATGGGTTTATCCTCTATTCATTACTGAAAGCAAATTTGTATTGGTTGATGACGGTTTCGGATAGCAAGGCTAAATACTTCGTCATGCACTAATGCTGACTGGAACATCTACATAGCCTTGAATGTAATTCAACCTGACCACAACATTCACAGAACTGATGAAACGTGTTTTATCATGAAGAGGTATTTAATACATCTCAAAAGAAATGTAATCTTCGTGAAAATCCGTCATTTGCAAAACAACAACAACAATCGTACCGAGACTCATAGGCTGGCAATGGCAAATGAGGGCACGAGTAGATGATTGCTTTCTTACAATTCCGACCTGGTTAGCTACATTGTGAATTTAGGTCGTCGAGTATAACCCAGATTACAAACGAGAGGTGAGTTGCGCAAAATAGGTTTGTCCACGGCGTGGATAGTAAGCTTCTGTTTTGTCTGAATGCAGCCAAATTTCCTAACTGAATATTTGCATTTTGTGTCCCTGGTAATTTATCAAACGACGTCAGCTACCTCAGCCAAGATCGGAGTCCTACATTTCATTCGATCAATCAAGGTTCCTATTCTCAGATATGTAGTGAATTTACGGATGCCATGGGGCACACATCCGCGGAAAATCAGTCTATTCAACAGATCGAACCATCGTAATTATTATAACTTGGCTCAAGAGTAATTATGAAAAACCGGAGCTGCTGCACACCTTCGTTTGCCATTGTTGTGGCAACTGAAAACAACAGCCTTTTTCCAAGTTTAATTTGACCGCATGTGAAAAATGTTGTTGACTGAAAAACGTATATGTATGAGCCTCATCACTGGACGATGCTGCAAACACAAGTAAACAGACATCACTCAGTTAAGCATTTAAAGTCGATTGCAATGAAGATTACTAGAAAGAATTAAAAACGATTTCATTTTACACGAAACACCGACTGAAATTTTGCAACGGTTTTGTTCCCAATAATTCAAACGGTAAGTGAAATTCTCCATCTTTGGTAACATCTATCATTTGCTGTTTAGCTCCTGGGGCCATTTCATTTCCCATCCTACTCTGTGACTTGGTGGAAGAATTTAATCCGTTGGTGGGGTATTACTTCCAGAGGCATTGCAGCTATAATCTCACGGGCCGGTATATCGTGACCTTAACAAATGCACGGATAAGTGTCAAGATTGCTTTTTGACTGGAAACTGAATCGATGGTTTCCATTTCATTTGATGGGACACATGACGTATAAAAGATAGTAGTTATGTCCCAAAAGACTGAATATATTGTGCTTTTAAAATGATTAGCATGTTGCATATGAGTATTTCCCTTGAACTGCCCTGTACATACAATATGTGCTTTTCTACGAACTGGAAGCTACATGAAATTGCACGGTTTTCAGGGACACTCCTTTCGGAGAAGACCAAAGCAACTTCAAGCAAAATTGGTTAAATGCGAAGCGGAAATACTCGCTAGAATGGACTGAAAGAATTGCTCACCTTCGGTTATCCACAGACCGAATCGGTGATCGGAATGATACCATTTGTCAGCAGGTAGTCGTACTAAAAGTGAATTGTATTTGGGTCTGATCAAAGTGTATCCTGGTTCCGTGATTACCATGGCTGAGGAATTGTGGCTTCTCTCGTCCCCGTAGACGAGCAGACCCGGTGTGATTCGTTGCTGATAAATTAAACATAAAAACAGCATCATATTCTGTCGTCCTTGTTTTATCACGCACAGTTCAAACACAGGACTGTACGGGGAAAAAAGGCACGTCCATTCCTTTTGTTGGATACAATGCTATTGGATGGATTTCAGCAATACCATTCAAAATGATATAGGGATGTTTACGGGCAAAATATCACCTGTGATTCTTTGCACTTATTTTCAAATACAAAAACGATCGAAACTAATTTTTTATAAGCAAACCGTCAAGTATCCGTTTTCTCTGCTTGGTCATATCACAATACGTCATCCAATCTTCCCTCTGTAAATCACAAGCAACGTCCTGCAACTCTGTCAACCATAATAATAAGTAAATGGACGGAATTAAGAAACACGCGGTTCAGTTCAACTTACTTCTACATACACAATGACAACCATTGGTAACACGCCGGGTGACTTGATGATCAAACTGCATTCTGACGTCCGTACGCCGAAGAAACATCCGACACACTCCGCAAAAGCCCTGAACTGAAAATATCCATCACATATGTCAACTGAAAAGGAAAAAGAAAATCCCCCTAATATGTAGAGACCGTAAGTGTAGTGTGCCAGAAACATGCGAAATGAACAGAAGTAGTGGAAAGTGAAGTGTCGTTCTATGATATTATTTACCTGATTTTCACTGTAGTTCGATGCACTTTAGTCAGAAACTGATGACACTCATTGAGAGAACATGCATTACGAAAATCACGTAGCACTCACATAGGGGTTGATCATCGAAATGGGGGACATGCAAGTAATATATAATATTGTCCGCAAATTCACTGACGCCAAAGACAAATCCTGCTAAAGCAGTTCAAACGGTTCACGTACTCCTTCTGGCGAAACCGATTAAGCATTCCCTATTCTTGCTTTCACCTGTACACCAAAATCCAAACGGTGTTTATGATCAACCCTGTCTTATCCATGCAGAAAAAATCGCCAGCCGTATTGATTAAAACAGACCATACACTGGGTGACCTTTTTCCATTACTCCGTATTTGAAGTCCGTGAGCCGTTGGGGGGTTTGAAATAACAATAAGACGCCCTCGACGCTTTGGAAACCATGTGTGATCAACAACAAAATGTCCAATGTCCCCTAAGCTGAACACAATGATCACATTGAGGCATGCATCAAACGTGAATTTAAGATATGCTGACAAATAAATTTACTGACGAACCTCTGCTGTTATCCGACCATCCTATATTAGTACAGATAAAATTACCATTTTTTACGACGGGAATGTGTTTGTAGATTCATTGTGCGATTCCGAAATTCAGGAAAAGTAGAAAATTATCTTGATAAATGAGTATCAGAGGGAATGTTCTCCTAACCACTCACTTTCCCTCGTGGAATTATATAAGGGACCTTTGTGGGCAAAGCAGAATGATAAATAGATAAGTGGTTTGAACAGGGTTTGAACGAAGTTTTCCAATGACTAAATACCTAAATAAGTGACTGTGAGTGCTTGCATGCTTACGAAAGTTCAGAAAACAATGTGCCAGTTCGGTCCTCAGAATTGACAAAGTGATGGCGAACTGTGTTAAGCAGTACGAGCGATCTGGTGACAGGAAGCAGTGAAAGCCAGAAACTGCTCTCTAACGGCCATGGATAGAACACTCCATTCATGAACAGACAGTGTGTTGCTATCTCAAATATATCTTGTATAGAAAATATTCACGATAATCACTTGATTGACGCTGGTCAGTCAAAAGTAAGAAAACCATGAGTGTAATACAAATCAATTCGGGAAATAGGTTGCAACATATGGAATCGGGATGTGGTTTTTACACGCTGTACCTTATGTGCTGTACGAATGATGCAAAACGATCAATCCATGCCCATTTAATTGGGAATTAACTTGCCGAGATTTTTGTAAAACCATGCTTCAAATGAAATTTTCAATGGCAATCTTTGAAAAGTGTATGTGATTGGTAGAGACAGAAGTCAAACACTATAACTTCCTCGTGGTTTCAGTGTGTAGTGTGAATTTTCGTCAGTGGAAGCTCAATGATAGCACAAAATCATCATTTACGGGGAGATGGAAAAACCAGGAATAGCTAAAGGTATACCTGTTACGCTGTGCAATTATTGGATTACTTCAAAAAATCAAATACCTCAGGAACTTTGCATTGTTCACACAATCATGAATCAAGAATATCTTCATAATGCATTTACGGCACATAAAAGATATATGTGCAATCACCCTAGGAGTATTTGTAGATGATTTTATACCGTTTTTGTCATTATGATTCTTGTAAACAGCAGCATATTCAATAATAAACTTGAATTTTAATGGATTGAAGAAATCAATGCTAGCTACAACTTGAGTACCGTCATGGATGTTAGGCTAATTTCAGCTACCATCATCGATAGGTTATTTAATGAAAGTTTCTCTGGAATTGGTTTGAGCATCAGAGTTCCTTCCTTTCCATCGAAACCATTCTACCCAACCTAGTAATGCACAGAAGAACCTATATGGTACCTTTATATCATTACTGCAAGCAACTAATAAACCAACCCGACTAGCGCAATCACTCTCATGGTCAACAGGCAGATTTTCCCATCTCCGTAGAATCACTTTTGCTGTACTCGTATTCATTAAGGGGACATTCCGCAAAAAACATGGTACATATTTATCCTTAGTGTCTGGAAATTCGATTGTTTCATCTAGATCCTACAAGATCATCCCGAAAAAATGGGCTAAGGCAAAATCAAATTATCACGTAGAACCTTAAAAAAACCATCTTCCGATTTGCCACAAGGACCATGATCAATGGATAGCTCAGAAAGTGAAGTAGTTTGAAAACTGAACTGGCCAATGATGAATACATAGAAGTATGGTATTTTGTCGGATCAGTCGATTTTTATAGGTTCTCTCTGAAGGTTCGGTGAATAGGACGGTAACCATTCAAATTAATGACTGGGTTTCATAATGGGATTGTGAATCTGCTTCGGAGAATCACAAAGGATGTGGCTATGCACACGGATAATTAAAATACGAATGCCTCAGTGCAAATCTAATCAGTCAGCCGGGTTTGCGTAGACAGACACGGCTTGTTTAAAAAAGGAATGTCGTGATTCGGTAAATCAGTGTGAATACAGAATGTTGTTCAAAATTTAACTTCTTTGTAATCTTATCTTATTGATAATTAATAAAGCACAATACAAGATATGATAATCACTCTGCTCTTACAAAGGTATAAAAACTTGCAAATATTTGTGTATATTTTATAATTATCAAATTTTAAAAATCTTTGCCACCAGTGGGATCCCAACGAAAGTGCGGTGGCCAACCAAGCTTCAATACTCCGTGTACTCTACCAGCTGAGCTTCGAGACCACACCGAAGGGTTTCAGATGTCATGACAATCTGTCACACTGTTTACACATGACCTTCGCCACGGGAAACTTGCATGTGATTTGGCCCTCTAGATCAGAATTTCATCGCGTGCTAAATGCCGCCCATCAGCTCAGTTCAAGTGGTTATTCTTATTTATGCATTGGGGTTTGGCAGATTTGACAATATACGGAACATTGCGACGGATTGTCATGCCAGTCAAACACCCATACATATAGGTAGTGTAGATTGTAATGCATGCGAAAAATTACTCACTATATATTTCGATCTCCATGACTTGAGGTATATCAGGCCCTTGGAGTCATGATATTGGGGTACTCACATTTTTCTCTAGTTGACGTTGGTTCTTTGCTGCTCTAGGGATACTCGAATATGTGTAACCTTGGTTGTTATGGTCAAACACTCCGAGGTATACACTTGTGATTGACCTGATCAACGAACCACGCGAACTAACTAAGGTTATGTATAGAATGGTTCACTCTCCGAATATTTTTGTAGAAGCCGCCTACTGAGCCACATTTTCGATGCCTGTTGTTACATCATAAGACCAAGAGAAAACCTTCCATCATTTGAAGATTTCATGATATATCTGGTTTGAGAATAATATTTTGATGACTGCTAAACTAACTGAAAAAAGGAAATTCCGGTTTGTATCAGCGTCAGCTTTGTGTTCAAGGTGATTTAAATGTATTTCAGTAGTCACCTACATTGCTTTTGCGATAGAGACGGAAACGTTCCACCGAAACACAATTTTTTTCGGTAGCTCCTCAAAGTTGACCAAGGTTGAACTGCAGTTTTCAAAATATGTTTGCCGTATCTTGTTCAGTGTGTTACCGTGTGTGTTACCGCATCAGTGATTGGATATATCACAGAAGCACCATCCCGAGTACACATTTCTGAGATAGAAGAATTAGCAAACCAAATGAATAGGACGATCATATATGCAATACTATTGAAAGTTAATGACGGAAATCCTTGTCCCTCATCCAGTGCTGGGATATTCTCAGACACTCTCACTTCATGCTTGACATAAGTTATTGACAGTTTCTCAAGAGGCTATAATGAAATGATAAGGAGGTTGCTCTGCGAACGCCACAAAGGAGGGCAAATATTGGTTTCATCAGGGGATTCAAATCGTGAGGTTTCTCGTTTGGCCGACGGGGTCGTTTCTGGTATAAGTGCTTGGTACTTGATGAGCAGTAGAAGGCTAAGAGAAGTCATTTGGTGTACTAATATCCCCCCGAAATATTATCCCACTGAACATTCGTATGTCCCACCAACCACCAATAGTGATTTGGATCGGAATAGAACAGGTTCAGCTTCGTTGGTAAAATCCCATTTGAGACGCCTCAAATGTTGAAAAATCTTCACCGCTCAGTTTGAAAAGTTCGCCAATTCGACGAAACGTAGCCATTTAAGTAGACAGTCGTTTTCCCAAAGGATAACTCTCCGTGCTTTATTACACCAGAGTTTTGTATATAAAATCATGCAGAACGATTTGTCTGTTCATTGTTTACTGTGAGTCTTGTAAATGTATGCGCAACTTCAAGGTCCAGTTTATACAATTGCCTTCCAATAGTGGAGTGCGAAATGTGTTCATGAAATGTTCTCTGTTCTAAGGAGGGTAGTCAAATGGCTTCCATTACACTGGCCACCTGATTCAAAAATCCGACATGAGATGGTGGATATGATAGATAATTCTTTCAGCACCTACATGATGGACTTTGTGCCGATAAGACTGTGAAATATTCCGAGGAATACAGGCAGACCACATGTCCAATGCAGTTTATGAATGTTATGTTCTGAACAACGGTTGGGTTAATCCCATGTAAAATAATGTAGTTCCATTCTCCCTCAGAGACTCATACTCCGTCATGGTTGTTGCCCACTGGTAGCAAAAGGAATGTGGTTTTGCCTGAATTTTGAGCAAAGCTATTCATGGCATACAAGCAGACTACAGGGATGATTGTCATAAAACGTCACCACTACTTGCCAGTTATGATGCAAATAAAATTTGTATTGTTGTGCTTGAATGCTG